ATATTTGTATAATATATACTGTTCCTGTTTCACAGGAACTGTACTTTCACACACACACAAAAAATATTAAACGGTACACATCAGTGCTTCTCAACCAGAGGCCCTCAGCAAATTTATCTAAAACGAATTATGACCTTAAAGCAACTGTATGTAGTTCTGTGTATTTTTGCAACTTTGGAGCCCCATGCAGTTAAAGCGTGTGGAATTCGTTGTCATAAATATATCACTGTCGTAGTTACAGTAAATATATCACTGTCATAAGGTTAGCAAAAGAAACTCAACGCTGCAGTACAGAGGGAAGCAAGCGAGAGGTCTTTTTTAATGGATGTCAGTTGAGGACTGTCACGTTGTCACACACACGAGGAACGAGGAGACGCTGGAGAATGCTTTTAACAGGACTTTATTGGAACCAAGGGAGACGAACACAGGAAGACCTTTACCCGAAGACGTACAACAGCGGACAGAGAAGTAGGGACTGGGAACACTTTAAATACACACAGGAGGAGGGGATCACGAGACACACCTGGGAGCAATGACACATCATGGGGAACACCTGGGACAAATGAACTAAACTAATCAGGGGAGGAACAGGAAACTAATCAAATAAGGGCATGGGAAGGCACATGGGGAGCAGGACACACACAACACATGGAACAGAGTCTGACAAGGACAGCCCTACGGAAATAAAAAAAACAATAGAAACCATCACAGAATTTGTAATGGTGTAACTGGTTTTAAAGGGAATTGCATTAGTTTTAATGGAAACTGTAATGGTCCCTGTTGGTCTCTCTACTGGTAATTTGTAGCCTTTTATTGGTGGCACACTACAGGAAACCATTTTTAATGGTTAATAGTTGATGGTTTGTAATGTTTGTAATGGTTTTTGTAGTGCAAACCATTAGAATGTTTTCAGCAGGGAGGCTTCAGTAAGATGAATAAACTGCTTTTGTGGGAAAACAGTCATTTAATCATTTAATCCGGTAAATCTTCAACATGTTTTAAATATTCATTTTGCACGGATCCATTTTTAGAGTTTACGCCGAACTCATACTGTTTTATAAGAAAAGTCACGGACAATCACTGCACTTCTCATTCATCTGTCTAGTATCCTCAAACAACGACTAACTGTCGCACAACTCAGAAATTCAATGATGTCAAGGCTGTAATATATGATTGTTTATCAAGGAACACGTGATCCTAGTTGGCTGTGAAGCTTTCTCCAATGGTAAAATCATGAAGCTTGGCATCTCCCAATAATACATCTCTGGCTGTACATGTGCAGTTGTCTTAAAGCAGGTCTGGGCAACTTCGGTCCTGGAGGGCCACTATCCTGCAGAGTTTAGCTCTAGCCCTAATCAAACACACCTGAACAAGCTAATCAATGTCTTCAAGATCACTAGAAAGTTGCAGGCAGGTGTTTGATTAGGGTTGGAGCTAAACTCTGGCCTGGTTCTAAGGTGGTGCTAAGCACCCTCAAACGAAATCAATAGCATATATATATATAAAAGCACCCTCAGTAATTTAAGAAGCACCGTCAGCGATTTGATTCTGGAGATGGGCCTGGGCCCTCCAAGAATTTCATACCGGCTCACCGGACTTACAAACTCCCAGAACAGACGTTTGGGGGGGGGGACATGGAAAAGAAACTGATATTTCAAGGTAAACATAAAAACTTATATACCGTCCGTTGCTTTAATTAAAATGCTAAAGAAAAGAAAAACGTACAACATTACACTGAGATCTTTTTAAATGCATTTATTATCATTACAACTGAAGTATCAGAGATACACATAAGCTTAGCTAAAAGGGCATTTGAATATTGTCTTGGACAAAGGGGGGCCTTGAATTCAAAAAAGTTGAGAACCACTAGAACAGTGTGCAGTAAGCAGTGGGCTAGTACTAAATCCCAAACATGAAGAAACAGCCAGGTTTCTGGAGGAATTGCTGGATAGAGATCAGTGACACTGTGACATAATATTTATGGGGCCCTGCTCAACACACATAATCAAGTATAAAAATATACTTCTATATAAATGTTACGCAGAAAATAATTGTAATGTGACATTGTCATGTACAAAGACCAATATTTTATGTTAAACTGTCTTACAAAGTTAAAGTCTGAGACTATCACAGCTGCTCATGTGAAACTTTTATCAACGCACAGTACATTCAGACATGTAGACATTTTATTCTATAATATTTTAAATAACACTGTAATTTCATTCAAGTTCAGTAAATACAACATGTCAAATTTGATTCTTTGGCTGCCTCTACTAGAAGATGTTGTCTCGGGTGAACTGATGACAGTGAACAGACATCTCATCAAACCCAGAACTACACGTTATGACACCCTTTTAGTAGATAATACTGATGTTTTTATAGCGGGCCCCACATCTTACTGAAAACGACAGTGAATACAAACACAACTCTTCTCTATTTACCATTGCATTTACAAATATAAAATGATTGCGAAACCGTTTGCAACATTAAAAGCAAGTGCAGATAAGGCATACTGAACCACACATTCACACAACACCGTTTAGGTCATTTGATTGATGTCGGCATCGATGAAATGCGAAAGCAATCAATAGTGTACTACAGAAAACGATTATCTCTATGTCTGTTCGTATGGTAGTGTTGTGACAATACACCTGGAAGACCACATCAATATATATCAGCATATTAGAAATAATGTAGAGAACTTAAACCCAAACATGATGCATTAATATTTTAATAATTGTCTAGTTTAACACATGTTCTGCTATCCTAAACGAATCACTGTTAGGGTTCCTGAACATGAACATCCAGGAACAGAATGGCACACCAATGGAGTATTGTACAGTGGTTAGTTTGATGGCAAAAATTAGTATTGACAAGCTGTGGAAATACATTTTTTTAAAACCTGTTACCATTTTAAGGGGAAAATTTGTAGAATGCAAGCATACCACAGTGCTTACAGACAACAATGCTACATTTGGATAATTATAGGCCTATATATACCCTTTTGATGATGATGATGTTATTTGTATTTGGACACCACATTACTATTTGATTATCTGTGTTGGAATCCAATCCAATAGAAACATCCATTTATATCAATACCACCTAACATCACTTCAGAAATTGCAGGTCAATCTTGTTACTGTGTGCTCACATTCTGAGTATAATGTACAACATGTACTTAATGTGTAATTATTTGGTGGAGCAGCTTGTAATTACGCTGTCTTTTGATAGTAGTGAACTGAAGTGCAGTGGTGTTTTTCTGTATTCCAGTATTTTGTTGTATTAATAACCAGTAGCAGATTGTAGTTATACATCATGTAACTATGCTTACTGGTTCATTGTACAGTACTTTAGGTATCCTGTATATCTGGCATACAAACAACAATCATAATTTATTGTACATTCATCCTTCCATTTTCTGTATTTGTTTTATTCTATGTAGGGTCACAAGGGAGTGCTGGAACATACGCCAGTGTCTCAACTCAATGGCTTGGAAACACCCTTGACAACCACAAATGATTTGCCCAGTACAGTCAGTATGTACAGTGTGTCTTAAACCATTATAGATAGTTTTTTGTTTTACACTACATTTGTACTGTGGTGTGAAGCAACTTGCAGGGTTTTTGTTGCCAGTCAGTACGGAGCCCCTATACGGGGACATGGTGATGGAAGAAAATATGAGATGGGAGGAAAAATTTTCATTTTATGCGTTTGTGTTCTCTCACAAAATCATTGCGTTCCCCTGAGAAACTTTAAGTTCTCTTGCAAAACATTTGCATTCTCTCGCAAAAACTATTACATTTCCATGAGAAACTTTTCATTCACTCACAAGAGCACTGAAATGACATTTTTTTTTCTCCAAAATCATCTTATTTCTATCACGAAAGTTTTGCGAGCGAGTGAATGCCAACTTTTTATGCAAAACTTTTGCAAGCAAATACAAAATTTCTTGGGGGAACACGAACGTTTTGTGAGAGAATGCAAAAACATTGAAATACAGTTTTTCCTCCCACCTCATATAACGCAATGTTTCCTGGGGGAACATAAAAGTCTTATGAGTGAAGGCAAAACTTTTGCGAGCAAATGCTAAATTTATGGGGGGAATGCAAAAGCTTTGCAAGAGAACGCAAAAACATTGAAATCATTTTTTTCCCCACCTAATATTATTTTTAGACAAACTTCTTGCGAGCGAATGCAAAGTTTTATCGGAGGAATGTTAAACTCTCGCGAGAGAATGCAAAAACATTGAAATATAGTTTTTCTTTCCACCTAATAATATTGCGAGCATACAAAGTTTCTCGGTGGAAAGTAAAAATCTTGCGAGAGAACGCAAAATTTTGCAAGTGCATGCAAAATTTCATGGGAATATGCAAAACTTTTGCGAGCAAATGCAACGTTTCTGGGGAGAACGCAAAAGCTTTGTGAGAGAACACAAAACATTGAAATACAGTTTTTCCTCCCACTTCATATAATGCAACGTTTCTCGGGGGAACGTAAAAGTCTTGCGAGTGAATGCAAAATTTCTCAGGGATATGCAAAACTTTTGTGAGCAAATGCAAAATTTCCTAGGGGAACGCAAAATTTCTCGGGGGATTCTCAAAGTTTTGCAAGAGAATGCAAATACATTCAAATATAGTGTTTCCTCCAACCTCATATTATTGCAGACACAAAAGTTTTGCGAGTGAATGCAGAGTTTCTCTGGGAAATGTTAAAGTCTTGCGAGAGAACAAAAAAACAAATATAGTTTTTCTCTCCACCCCATATTATTTCTGTCATAAAAGTTTTGCAAGCATACAAAGTTTCTCGGAGGAACGCATAAAGTCTTGAGAGCGAACGCAAAATTTCTCTGGGATATGCGAAACTTTTGCAAGCAAATACAACATTTCATGGGGGAACGCAAAAGCTTTTGTGAGAGAATGCAAAAACATTAAAATATATAATATTATTATATAATATTATATAACAAAATATTTCCTCCAACCTCATATTATTTCTGATATGAAAGTTTTGCGATCAAACCAAGTTGAGCAACACAAAAGCACCAAAATTTTCCCTCCCAATCTCATTTTTCACCATCACCATGTCCCTTACGTAAGGAAGTTAAACTTGATGTTATATAAAATTATTCTAATTACCAATTAATCATAGTAACATGTCATACTGTACCTGTAACTTGGACACAATGATATGAAGTGCTACCAAATCGGCCAAATCAAAAAATATTCACCCACTCCACTGGATTACAATATGTGGATTATATGCGCCATGTGCTTTACAGACAGGCCACCACCAACACTGTGCTTTAATCTGAAGACGCTACACATCGCTGGGTGTCCTGGGTCGCATGGTGAAACTGTAAGGCATGCACCAGCAACAAGCAATCCTTAAAGATCGGAGAATTTCAGGGTTCCTGAACGCATATATCATGGGGTTAATGATGGAGTGGCAGATGGCCGGAAGAGCCGTAGCGTAGGTGTAGATCACAGGGGTTCGGCTGTCTGCCACCAGCGAGTACATGGCGAGAGGGATCCAACAGAACGCGAAAGTGCCCAGGATGGTGGTGAGGGTGGAGACCCCTTTCGTGGTGGAAGATGAGTGCGAGGTAGTCATAAACTGACGCTGAACGGCGATTTGCTGAGCGTGCCGGAACGCGATCTTGCAGATCTGAAGGTACAGCTGCAGAATGAGAGCGAAGATCAGGAGCAAGGACACGGCGAGAGCTGCGGCGTTGTTTTTGTTCACCGGTGGACAGATGCTACAAGTGCTCTCGTCCTCCAAGCAGTTCCAGCCCAGGACGGGGAGCGAACCGAGCGTGGTGCTCATGACCCACATCAGCATGAGTGTGACATAAGTGAACGTCACCGTGCCCTCGGTGTGGTACGTTAATGCGTTGTACAGCGACAGGTAACGGTTCACTGTTATCGCAAGGATGTTGAGCACAGATGCTGAGAAGGCTGTGATGAGGAGCCCCGCTGACAGTAGCGTGACAAATCCCGAATCGATTATGTAAGTTACGATGAAATTGAGGATCAGGCCCAGGCCGGCCAAAAGGTCAGCAAACGCTAGACTCCCGATGAGGACGAACATAGGCGCTCTCAAGGTGGGAGTGTAGGCGATCAGAGCGATCACCACTGCGTTCTCGCAGGACATGAGCGTGCCCGTCACGCACAGCAGCACGTCCCACGGGTTAACGATCGCGGCCACCGGCTCCGGCTCCCAGGACGGGGCAGACGATGTGTTTCTTCCTTCTAATACATCCCAATTCAAAAGAGAAGTGTTTTGGAGCAGGTTACTCATCGCTACAGTAGGAGGGTGAATCACTGGAAATGAGACAAACAGGAGAGTCAGAGAGACAAGAGTGCATGTGATCATTGATAGATAGATAGATGGATGGATGGATGGATGGATGGCTGGATAGATGGATAGATAGATAGATAGTGTCACGGTGCGTGCGGGGAGATGAAGCGAGGACTCAAGTGCAGGAGAAATGGTTGTTTATTTTAATAATAAAAATGAAACAAAAACAAACTCAAACCACCCCGAAGGGGAAAAACAGACAGGCAGGCCTAAAGCTGCACACATGCAGACACGAAACACACACAATGAGAAATGACGGATCAGCACAGGATGACAGACACAAGGAGAATAAATGGGAACCAAACGAGGAGGCTAACGAGGGAGACACAGGTGGATCAACTTAAACTATAACGAGGTAACAAGATGGGAGGGATGATAGATAGATAGATAGATAGATAGATAGATAGATAGATAGTAGTGCTGTCAAATGATTAATCGCGATTAATCGCATCCAAAATAAAAGTTTGTGTTTACATAATAGATGTGTGTGTACTGTGTTTATTTATTATGTATATATAAAAATGGAATATATAAATGCAATCAAAATTTATTTTGGATGTGATTAATTGCGATTAATCATTTGACAACACTGATGATAGATAGATAGATAGATAGATAGATCGACAGACAGACAGATAGACAGATAGATAGATCTAATATAGCTTTAATTAAAATTGAGCTTAATAATGATACTAAATGTTATTGAACTGAATCAAATCAACATTGAACTGGCTTGAATACTGACACTAAAGCTGAATATTGGCACTATTGTTCTCTATAGAGCTGCTTTATAGATGTAATTGATTTGGTTTCATAATCGATTAATATTATAACATTAACACTGTTATTTATCTGTTTATTAATGTTAAAAACAATCTATATTGTATAAAGTGCTATACAAATAAATGTGACTTAAAAATCACCAAAAATATACCAGGCTACACAACAAAAGCAAACCGGATTTCAACATCCATCACAGATCTGTTAACATAGTTCATAGCATATTGAAAAGAGGAGTGAGCTATTTTTAGACAAATTCCATTTTTAGCCCTCTGCTGCATGGAAAATGAGGAGTTATACTTCATTCAGACATTTCTACCACTACTGAGGTGATAATCGAGCCTCTTAATTAAAGTGAAAATCTCATTGTGAAATATTTGACAAACAAAGATACCAAAGGTACCAACCACAGAACGAGCTTGTTTCTCCATCCCTCTTCCATCAAGTGAAGATGAAGAATAGATGAGGCTCAGGAAAGCATCCCATGCCAAGCGCATCTTTTTTGGGATAAAAATGAAGACGTAGGTGTAAAGGAATAGCCTATATCGGCTTGCGTCTGTTGTTTTTATTTTTATTTGTTTGCCTATTTAATTTTTTTTTTTCTCCTCCGTTTATTGGCATCAAGGTTTCTTACCTGGGCAGCGTTCAGCCTTGGCTTGTCATTCCGCTCATAACGCGTTGGCAGTTCACAGACAGCGGCGCCTGCTTGTTCGCATCTGATTGGTCGCTGAGATGACTCGCACAGCTGACGTCAAGAGCTCGGTCTGCGCTATGATTCAGAGCATGTGTACAGAAATACAGCACAGCCCTTGCTTTCACAATCACAACAACACCCATCGAACGCGACGCGACGCGACGCGACGAAACCAGAACGCTTCCACTGGAGAGAATTCTGACGTCAACGCGTGAGTGGCTTGACTCGACGCGGCAAAACTAGCATTATATGTAGCTGCAAACAGAATTACAATTAAAATGTGAATTAAATTTAACTGCTGTGGCTTTAAATGTGACCCTGGACCACAAAACCAGCCATATAAGCCCTTACGAAAAATAACCATGTTTTACTACAAATAAAACCAAAAAAACATGGTTACTGTAGTTAAACCATGGTAACCACAAATTAATCTTGGTTTTGCTAGACTAACCATAGTTTAACCAAGGTATTTGTAGTAAAAATGTGGTTATACAAATGGTCATCAATACGCCAAAAAAAACATGGTTACAACACTTTTACTACAATAAAATAAAAAATTTAAAAAAACATTTTTTTTTTTTAAATTGAGATCCGTTGATGTATGGTTTGTTATGATAGAACAATATTTGGCTGAGATACAACTATTTGAAAATCTGGAATCTGAGGGTGCAAAAAAATCTAAATATTGAGAAAATCTCCTTTAAAGTTGTCCAAATGAAGTTCTTAGCAATGCATATTACTAATCAAAAATTAGGTTTTGATTTATTTACTGTAGGAAATTTACAAAATATCTTCATGGAACATGATCTTTACTTAATATCCTAATGATTTTTGGCATAAAAGAAAAATCGATAATTTTGACCCATACAATGTATTGTTGGCTATTGCTACAAATATACCCATCTCAACCAAAACTCAGTGGACTAGTATCTGAAAGGACTAACTAGTCTTCTTGGCTAACTATCTTGTCACATGCGTCATATTAGTCAAGATCCCCCACTATCTTATTGCTCATTTTGACAACATTACCCAATTTACTCTTTCCAAACAAAAAGTTAACACAAATTCAGTAAAACAAACATTTACAATCCATATTACAAATACAAAGTGTGCAACATGCAACGAAGAGCTTTTTCTCATCAGCATTTCCTCAAATATCCCCAAATGGCCAAATATTTTAAAATATATTTCAAAATGTGTATTAAAAATGGCCAAAAAATAAAATTTACCAAAATGTTTAAAAAATATATTTATATGAATATATTTTCTACCCACATAACTTTTGGCCCTTTTTTTGTCTATTTTTTTTTTTTACACAATATTTGGGAAATATAAATATATTTTTAAAAAGCATTTAAAAATGCATTTTGCCCTTCACATACTGTAGCCTATCTCAGTCCAAGAAAATACATCCACATTTACAACAGCTTCACTGTTTACAGCTTATATTTAAATATATATTTTGTCTAGGGAAAAAATGGCAATCAATGGACATCTGTTTTGATTTAAGAACATTAATATTGAAAAAAGAATGATCACACCATTGTATAAACATTAGATACTGGAACTACTACCAAATCTTTCCATAGACATGGAACATTAGCTAACTTTAATTAAAAAAATTTTGTATAATAATTGATTAGACAAAACTCTCAAAGCTTCTCCGCATAAGGCAGGCCAATACGTAATATTTATTAATACTGAAATGATATTTAAAATAATAGATGCTTCGTCAAACGCTTTCATGTGCTGGTGCTGGCCATGGTGCTGATTGTAGTTGATGGAGTTGACGCCAGATGGCAGCAGAGTCACATTCAACTATAACCAGGGCTGTCTGATGATGCAAATGTGATCCTATGGCTTCTTTTTATTTGTCAGCAACATTTAGGATGAATTCATCTTCAATAATATATTAAATATTTCTAAACGTCATGAGCAGTCAATTACAATACCAAAGCATTCCTGTAGTCCAAACAGTAGAAAACGGCACAATCAACAGACTTTTTCAAGAAGAGATGACTTTGATTACCAGGGAAGGCATGAACATGTAGACCTTGAAGGCAAAGATGCTTTACACTAAACATTAGAAAAAGTCCAAGGCACTTCTCCTGGTACAAAGGGTTAGAACGCCTTTATTATTGTTTTGGCTGGTTGCATTATACAGTAAGTCATTAAATTGTTTTAAAAGAAAACTACACACTGACTGATACATTTCGGCCTTGTTTCACACTTTATCTACATCGTCAAATTTGTCATTAAATATTGAAATTTCAGCTCATTCATTTCAGCCATTCATTTGACGTATCAAATGAATATTTTTAGTATTCCTTTTATAGATATTAATAGATTTCACACATCACAAAGAGGAAATTGGGAGCAGAATTAATCCAGCTGAGAATATCCTACAATTCAAGGCGCCCACAGCCCAGTCTCCCGACCCAAATAAATAATAATGTTTGTCTGTTAGTCACTGAGTTTATATATATCTGATATATATGCTTGTAGTTTAGTTTGATCTGTCAGGCTTAATCACTCTCTCTTGTCTTACTTAAAGAAAACCACAATTTAAGTAATCTTACAGTCTCAGATATTTCAGCCTGAATCCTCCCCATTTCAGCCTTTTTTTTAAAGGAACAGTTCACTCAAAAATGAAAATTTGCTGAAAATCAACTCACCCTCAGACCATCCAAGATGTGGATGAGTTTGTTTCTTCATCAGATTTGTAGAAATGAAGCATTGCATCACTTGCTCACCAATAGATCCTATAAGCAGTGAATGGGTGCCGTCAGAATGAGAGCTGATAAAAACATCACAATAATCCACAAGTAATCTACACCACTCCAGTCCATCAGTTAACATCTGAAGAAGACTAAAGCTGTGTTTGTAAGAAACAAATCTATCATAAAAATGTTTTAACTTCACACTGATCCAAAATATCCATAATCCATGCTTTCTCCAGTGAAAAAAATCATCTCATCTGAATCAGGAGAATAATATGCAAGCACCGTTTACAAGTGAAAACAGTTCAAAAACAAATATGTGGGTGGATTTTGATGTGAGGGGACAACTGTTTAAAGTTAAAATGTCTTTATGATAGATTTGTTTCTTACAAACACGCAGATTTTGGCTTCACAAGATGTTAACTGATGGACTGGAGTGGTGTGGATTACTTGTGGATTATTGTGATGTTTTTATCAGCTGTTTGGACGCTCATTCTGACGGCACCCATTCACTGCAGAGCATCCATTGCTGAGCAAGTGATGCAATGCTACATTTCTCCAAATCGGTTCCGATGAGGAAACAAATCTACATTTTGGATGGCCTGAGGGTCAGAAAATGTTCATTTTTGTGTGAAAATATTCCCTTGAAAATCTGAAAACTGGCATCTCTCTGACTCTTCCGTGAATCTGTTCCAGTTTTATCACAAAACAAATAGATACCAAATGTGTCCCAGTTATTGATTCAGTAACTAATCTAGCAGTATTTTAAGGCATATGTGAGTACACTTAATATTAATCCAAATTGTTTTAAAACAGACTTGTTTTAGCATGTCCCATCGTAGGGGAGCAGAATTTCCTAGACGCTTGGAAGCTGACATTTGACTTTGACTAGTAAGCACTCAAACCATCAAAAACACTTCTAACACCCTAACAACCACAATAATAACACTTTGGTATCATGGCAAAAAAAATTAAAAACAAAAACATGCAGTCAAGCATCAGGCTACAAAAGCCCTACGAGACCAAGCCTTTTATTTTGTTTATCACTGTAGTTTTCTTGTGATCCTGATTTACACTGTACAACAAAAAAAAAAAAAAACTCTGCCATTTTCAGTTCAAACATTTCATCGGCATCTCTCTTACTTTATTTCATAATCACGCAGATGTAGAAAAGTCATTCAGTTTAGGGCATATGTCACATCCCATGATGATATGGGATATTTTATACATTAAGGGAAAGCATATTATAATCTCACACAAATTGTTTGTGCACCCTATGTTTGAATTTGCTCGATATTGCCTTGATGTCCCTTAAATTACAGTTTTTGCAGTGTCCTTTTTTGAAGTGAATGGGTCTTGAGGTCAAAATAATAACAATATTAATCTTAAATCTACTTTTAAAATACAAATATTAAAAAAAAATATATATATATATATAGAGAGAGAGATTAGATTATATTCATATTTAAATGATGAAAATATTTTATTTCTCTTACTTATTTCACTTTTCTCTTGCTTTTTATCTTAACTGAAATTTAGTAATTAGCAAAGATCCTCTGAAAATCATTCAGGTTGTATTCCTTTAGTGTTAGCTAAACAAACTCACTCTGAATAATGAAGCTGCTGCTCTTGGGTGTAGTCCTTATATTTTGTGGTTTCAGATCCTCCCCAGATGCTTTCTTGATTTTGGCCATTAGTTCACCCCATCTTTATGCAATCTAGAAACCAAGCTTTGTGTTTCCTGTCACTGTGCACTTGAGCAAATCTGCTTCCTCTATTTGAAGGGAGTGTCTCTTGTTTTGTTTGTGGCTTTGGTGACAGTTTTTAGAAGAATGATGTCAACTATGGAACAGCACCCATGACTGAGGACATGCACTGAAACTGAACTGCTGAAAAAAAAAACATTGAACATTCATGCTTTATCAACTAGTCTCTTGATGCAAGGCACCATTTCAGTGTAGCTGCAATGCTTAACTTATCCCTGCCGGATATACTCTGTCCAGTCTGATGTCCTCCCACCGCCAGGATAACGCGAGTTACATAATCAGATTACTTCTTTCAAGTAACTAGTAAAGTAACACATTACTTTTTAATTTGCAAGAAAATATCTGAGTTACTTTTGTAAACTTTGTTTTTCCATTGATTGACTGATAGATCTCCTGTCCAAATGTTGAGAGAAATCAGGAGTGAGTGCAGAGACGTGTGCGCTGTGTGAACATGATGTTACTGTGGTTCTACACCAGATGTGAACA